TGAAGGCACCAGAAGAAACAGTGCTGCAGATGTGTGCAGGAGAGGTAACCTGGATTTCACATCAGGGTTGCCAGCTGAGGGATTTGCAGTCCTTCAGCTCAATTTGGCCCAAGTGAAAACACATTTCCCTTTGCTCCATGGGCTGGACCCTTTAACAGCACAAGCACTTCAACATTTCCGTCCGGCTCTTCCTTATTCCTGCTGCCCAGAGCAAGGTCAGTCTGATTTACTTTTGGCTATATAACATTAGGACCAGAAATTTGGGTTCTTCTCACCTTCCTGGAGTACTGGCAGATGCAGCTTTCTCCAACTGTCCCCAGGCTCCTTGATGGGAGATGCAAAGAAGAGGAGGAAAAAAAAGCCTGTCTAGATGCCCATGTTCTTCTGACTTGGCTAAAATCAGATGTAAAACCAGTTCAAGGCTTGGAGCGAGGAGCTCCTGTGGATTTAACTGCGTAGGTCAAAGAGGTGGACACGCTCTTTCCCCTTCCTACAGGGACCACATGTCTGCACGATGGCTCTCAAGGGCTCTCCAGTCACCCAAGCCTTTTCTACATGAGCCAACAAAAGCAGGAGGAAAGCCTGTGCAGCCCCTTCCTTCATCCCGCAGTGCCAAACACTGCTGCTTTCCTGCAGCCAGCCAGAGAGGATCACCGCTTACTCGGGTGTCGTCTACCCCCAAAATCACACCCAGTTCTTCCCCAATCCCCAAACAGTTCTAGGGTACTTTTCCTTGCTGCTCTGCCCAGTTATCCATCCTTTTCATTAATAAAAATATTTGAGGATGATTCTTTGCATGTCTGTGGCTGCAATGGGGCACATATTAGACCAGTGTTTGTATTTTTCTATTGCTTAGGTCAGAGGGCACATCCCTCCGCCAGGAAGGGATTGTCCTCCCGCATCACTTGCACCACGCAGAAGCCCCGTTGCTCACCTTTGGCCCCTCCAGGACGGGGACGTGCCCTGGGCTTTCTCTGCCTTCTTCCTTATCTGAGATGAGAGTTACCAGCAGCTCAGCACCGTTCTCCCCCAGGAGCCTGGGGAGAGCTGCAAGCCCTGTCTGCTAACGTCATCCTGGCTCCGCCAGCACACCAGGTCTGCATTATACCAGCCACAGCAGCTTTGCCAGAGGAATCAGCTTCTTCAGCCAGCAACACTGATCAAAAGCCCTCCATCCCCTGACTTTTGCTGTAGATACAGGGGGAAAAGGTATCACAGCACGTTCATTAACCAGGTGACATTCAAATCCAGCAAACTCCCCCACCTTCCTCTAGGCACAACCGCTGCGATTTAAATTACATGGAGGGGTAGGATTTAGTGGGCTGCTGGGAGTGGACTTGGCGCACAGAATCCCATATCTGGAATAGGTCTGTCCTTTGTGTATTGTGTTATGAGACAAAGGCGGAAGAAAACACCTGGAACACTGAGGCCAGGGTGGGGGGAAGAGACATTGTTATGGTTGCTTGCAAGATTTGGGCCAGATTTGTAAAGGTCCTTGGAGGTCTGCAACCTCTCCCAGCGGGACCTGTGCACCGTGACTTGAAGCAGTAATCTGATGCCCAGAGACCTGGGCTGGGGCTTGCTCTGGGCAGTCAGAAATCCTGGGCCAACCTCCGATGAACACATGCGGAGCAGCTCTGCGTTACGTTTGCAGCAGGGCTGCCGTGTCCCAGAGGCACCGACCTGCTCCATATGTCAAGCAGAGGCAATCTCTGCCTGCGATGTGTTGGATTTGCTGCATACACGCAGACGGGACCACCTCCTTTCCCATGTGTTGACAGGACTGTACTCAAGCACCTCAAGATATATAAAAATGTGCTTGATGGGATGGAGCATGGGGCCGAGCCGAGTGGCTGACTCCCACTGCACTCGCAGGCTTGCACCTTGCAGACTTGATTCCTCCACGTCTCAGCCAGTACTTCATCTTCTAAAAACCATGGCACCCTTTTTGGCCAGGATAGGAAACTCTAGCAATGAGCTCTAATGAGCCTTCAGCTCTGCTCTACCCGTGGGACACTGCGCAAATAGCTTTTGCAGCCAAGAAAATGGATGTAACAGCCAAGGGAGGAGAGGAAATGCAGATAAACCCTCTCTTCCAGCTCTTCATGGGAAATCCCCCATCACAGGTGTGAAGAGAGGGGCAAGAGGTTTGTCAGACACCGATAATGATCTCTCCGCCCTCCCAAGTCTGCTGCGTTCCGAAATGCGAAAGCAGAAAGTTGAAGAGCAGGTTGGAATTACGATGCAAAGACACCAAGCACCAGGGCAGGGTCCTCCCATCTTCCCCCAGATGTTGCCCCTTGCCCAATGCAGCATCACCCGGGGTCAACGGTGATTTGGGGGCTCTGAACAAGAAGGTGCAGAGCATGAACTTCGCCGTGCAAAAGGCAGCATCTCCCTTCCTACTGGGAGGAAGGGAAATCCCCATAAATAAATGGCAATAGGAAAGATATTACAGGTCCTCCCAGAAAGTGCCTGGAAGCTGCCTTGGAGGCGAGGCAGGGGGAGGAAGGGAGGCTGACTGACAGCCTGATTTAAGACCTGCCTGAAAAGCAAACAAAAGCAATTGAAAACTGCATCATCTAGGAAAACTTAGTAGGTTGTATTTTCACAAGTGAGGACTGATGGTAAGACCAGCTTAATCCCCCAGGGGACTTTCCACACCTCCGCACGCCGGCTGACGGGGCCAGCTGTTTTGTCTTGCAGCTGATTGCTGAAATAACATTGTCGGGCTGGCGCGATTGAAACAGGATGGGCTGGGAGGGAGCGACCCACGACGGGGGCAGTCAGTGTTAAAAGAAATGTGCTTGGTTTCCAAGCCCCCCTTTCTCTGGCCAGACCTCAGCCCCCCCTAAGAGCCGGGGGTACCTCTTGGCCTTTACAGTGGTGAGCAATGACGCTCCGAGCATTCAAGCCCGAGCAGAGTCTCTAGGCAACTGAAGAAAAACTTCCATAAGCGTTCCCCAGTGTTTTCAGCTAATTTGGGGTGAACAGGAAACACAGCCGAGTGGTAGAAATATAACTCATGGCCTTATCTTTCCTTCTTGGGGACTGACCTGGGGACCTGCCGAGCTGAACGTGAGCTACAACATGAACTTTGGCCACGACAATCTGACCGACTGCAAATACGATGCTTTACACAACCAAGTTTTAGAAGATTACATCACGTACATGCAGACCAAAAAAACCAACCCAGGGCATTCTGAAGCTTTTTAATGACAATATTTCCATTTGCTTGTACAAAATCACAGAGTTCCTTCCTGGTAATTGCAGAAACCCAGTAAACTCCAGAAAAGGAGAGTAAAAAATATCACCTTGCCCAAAACAGGTGATGTTCAGTGCCCCCGACTCCCTCTTATCCCCCTTCCTCAAGCCTTCACTGGAATTATGAACCAGAAGGATGTTTCCTTTCCCAACTTTCAACTTGTTAACAGAGAAAAAAACCCACATGTTTTAACCAGCTCAAGACATCTCCTGCAAGGATCAGACATGCAAGCAGCAAATGTACAAGCCCCTGTTACTGAATCCTAAAACTTTTTGTCTGCACGTGGTTTAAAATCTATGTCTGATGGTTAAAGAACAAAAGGCAAAGTAAACATACTCTTACATCCATTTTTTTCAAAGTCATCTATTTTAATCTACAAACTGCAAGACTATATATACATATATATGTACAAGTACAGATATATAATTAAATGAATATGGGAGGTGGTTCACCTGGGATATTTGAACATTTAGAGCTGACAGCCTAACAAGTTCCTGCAAGGTAATAAGCCTAAGTCTGGCATCTGGGAGCTCAGGGGATGTCCATACGATTAAAAGCAGCTGAGGCATCTCTCAGTAGCTGAGCCTTAATGACCAGGCTGTGAAGTTAACTCCATCAACTTAAGCCATTCGGTCAGAGAAATCATTTAAATACTACTTTACATTTGTAACAGGTAAGGAACATGTGTGGAGCCAGTGGTGGCCGCTTGGCTGACGGGCAGTGACCCACCAGGAGACAGGACCGACCCCCTCCACGCTACAGCCCCCGTGCTCCAGAGTGTGGAGCAGGTCTGTCCGCCCACACACACGTATGTGCTGCTGCTGCCTCCCCTTCGCAGGAGCGCCCAGTGCTCTCCACACCCCAGGGCTCTGACGAGATGCACCATCTCTGCATCCCAGGTACTGCCATGACAACGCCCTCCAAACATCTGGAGTCCAGACCAGAAAGAATTTACTCCTTTCCTTCTCTAGGAGAGAAGATGAATGAACCTGCCCGGCTGACCTGAGACTGTTCAAAAGGACAGATGATATATCAGGATCTCCCCCTACATCTAGGTAATACGTGCAGGACCTGATCTCAAGGCAATCCGTCCCCTGCTCGGTCCCTGGCAAGCAGCAGCACCAGCAGGAGAGCATCCTTGGCTTCCTGCTATCCAGGAAAACCCTCTTTGCTTGCCACTGAAGCAGAGGGAGGCTGCCACTCATTTGGTGACACAGACTGCCAGCAGAAAAAACAGATTTGCAGAAGTCACACTATTTTGCAGAAATGCTGGTGAAATTTTTACCAGGAGAAATTTGCTTTCTTCCTTCCAATAACAGCACGATGCTTCAGTTGGTGCAGACGAGCAGCCTTTCTCTTTGCCCCCGTTGTTTCATTTCCCTTCACTACAATTTCTTAAGCTGAGTTACCCTTGTCACTGACAATTAGGTTAGCAAAGCAGCTCTTTAGGAGCTTATATTTTGTCTTATGAAAACATGACATTAAAAACCAGCCTGTCAAATATTCTCATATTCTCACAGTAGGAAGTTTTTCAAAATTCAATTTCATTGTAATGTTTGATCTCTTAAATTCACATCCATTTTTGCAAAGAATACATATCTTAAAACAAAGCAGCTCGGCCCTCCTTAGCTAAGCCAACACCGTCTCTTCCTCATATTCTCAGGTCTCTGTGCAACCAGCAGCAGAAAGGGTTGGACAGTTTTGTACTTCTGAGGGTTTAGTGAGGAGCAAGGCAAACAAGGTCATAAACCACCAAGAAGGACAAGTTACAAAGAGGATGTTAACAACCATGAAAATCAAAGACTTGGTCTCAAAGCTGGGTCACCCTTCTTCTTCCACCTGAAATTCTAGTTCCATAACCCAGGGCAGGCCTGCTCCCAAATACACACAGCCCCCCTGAATTCATCAAGCCTGACCCATCAAATACCTTGCTTTTCCTATCCTGACAAGATAAAAAAAGAGATGGAAATATTTATTTCACTCACATAGACTGATTTTTATTTCTATCATCAAGGATATGTCTCAAACTCCAACTCCAACTTCTCCTTATTCCAAATTAATTACATTTACCCAGCGCTATTTCAACAAGTTAAAATTTCTCAATGACTTTGCAACTCTAGTAAAATGAGAAGTGCAAGGAATAAGTCAGAAAGGTGTAAGGAGCAAAGCAGAACTTCAAATACGTGTTTGCTGCAGTTATGAATTCATCCAGGACACAAGCAAATGCTCTCAAGGTGTGATGAACTCAGGGCTTTGGTTTTCTGTAACATCTGTACTGTCTGCAAAAAAAAGAGATGGGTTATTTCAGACACATCATGCTAAAAAGTCTTCATTCATACACTTAGGAGCAAAATCTGTTTGGAAATTTTAGGGATGAGGGAGTTCCAGTTCCACCCCAACACACAGGCCATGGTTTTGGGTGGTTCTTGCTGCACTGGACAAGGCACAGTGAGCACTGTGGGTGGATGTTGTAAATGTGCAAGGGAGACCACAACATCAGCTGGGAGGGCAGAAATGCCTGTAACCATGAGGTGAGGTGAGGAGAAGGAGCATGGGGACGTTTAGAGCATCGCTGCTAAAATGCAGATGCATCGTCTTTGTCTGGGAGGGGATGGGAGCTGAGGTCCTGGAGTCCCTGGCAGAACTGTGGCTGCAAACAGCTTCAGGTGGAAGCCGAGGAAAAGCCCCAGAGAAACCATCCAGTGCCCCAGGCTGGGCTGATGGGCCACAAGGAAGTTGTGACATGTCGGGGGGAAACCTGCATCTCCCCAGTCGCTGGTACATCTCACCTGAACCGCTCTGCTCAGCCTCTTACTGCCGCACACCTTGTTTTGCCCTTTCACTTCCAGCACATCCCCAGGGCCAGCAGCTAACTCTGCTGTTTTGCCCTGACCAAAGCCAGATTTAACCCTCTTCTCAGCCCCTCCTCACCTCTGAGCAAGTTCAAAAGCCAAACACAGAGCTAACACGTTGCAGCTAGCACTTCCAAATCCTCTTCTCCCTCGCTAACGCCTCACCCTGGGTCTTGCTGGCTGGGCCTGGCTCCAAGGCTGATGCATCTCCTCCAAGCCGTGAGCATCTCAAACGTGTGACCCCAGTAACCTCCCCAGCTCCAGCCTCTCTCCACCCAACTTCCCAGCCGATGGGGGGGACAGTGAAGAAGCACCAAGCCCCAGAGCGATGGGCTTCACTGCACTTTAGCTGTGAATGGAAGGAACAGAAAAGCAACTGCCTCGACAAGCAATTGCTTCCACAACCCTCACCTTAGACATCTGCCTGAAAAATGGAAAAAGAGGAGGGGAAGGGAGGAAGGAAAAAAAAAAAAAAAGGGAAAATTAAAAAAATAATAAAAAAATAAACACAAAAAAACCCCAAACCAAAACAAAACAAAAACCAAACCAAACCAAAACAAACAAACAAAAAAAACAACCAACAAACCAAAGGCCCCACATCTAATTGATTTCCTGATGGAGACAGCTGTTTTATTGCTTGCTATTTATTGAGCATACCCGTGCTGGAGAGCTGCAGCATTTCCATTCCCGGGGGCTGCTCCCCAGCTCCCCCCTCAGTGACATGATGGCCCCCAGCCACTTCCACTCATGCTGTTGGCAGCCCCCAGCCCTGATGGAGATGGATGAGTGGGACCAGGTCGTTAATAGTGCCTTTAGCTGGCACCTGTGTGCCATGGCAGCTCACACATGGTCCTGCCCCGCTCCAGAGGTAACACCAAAATAGGCTGATTCCTTCCAAAGAGTGGCAGCTTTCCCTAAGCTATGTCACATATCCATTGAAAACTGAAAATTTCTCATTCTAAAACTAAACCTAAAACTGTATTACTTTTCAGCTTTCCAAACAAAGAAAAAAACAAAACAAAACAGAAATTTTCATGTGTGATGGAAATGGGGGGAAATTGATTCCCCCCCCCCCCCAGCAGCTTTAGCTGCAACATGTTTGTCATATTTTCCTGATGTCCTGATGAAGCTGCTATTTGCTGTCCCTTGACTCCCAGTGCCACCAAGGGGACAGCAATAACCACGAGGTCCCCAGCCACTGGCAACAGTGCCTCTGACCCAGCTCTTTGAGAAAGGGAATATTCACATGACCGTTGACTACTCTCTCCCTTTTGCTTCCAGCAAAAATCCTGCCTCCCCAAACAACTCCATGCTAGTAAACCCAAAGCATGAATTTTAAGCTGGGGTGCTCCCCAGGGAGGGCACCTTCACACGAGACAGGCTGGGATTTGGACTGAACTCATCCTATCAGCTACTGAAGTCACTCACACACATCCAAGGTTCATGAAACCCCAGTCCCACAGCAAAGGCATGCAAAAAGCATCCCCTATGTGATCTGTGAATGAGGAATTATTTTCCCTCCCCATCCCTTTCTCAGGGCTCCAGCACACCAAAAAAATACCAAGAAAATTCATTGCAAGCACTGCTATCAGCCTGTTCAGTCCATTTTCACACCCTGGGATGTGCGTTATGCAGCTCAGTGACTGCTCCCCTCTGCCCCTCGCCAACTCCAGAGCACCAGCAATTTCCCCAGCATTCCAGCTGATGGATTTACTGGTCACGTCCCAGTGCCCAGCCCAGCTCAGAACAAGGAACCAGTGCTCTGACATCCTGCCACAAGTAACAACCAATGTCATCTGCTATAAGCGTTCAGCAAGAAACCTTTGCTGGGGCTCGCAGGCCATCTCCCCCTCCAAGGAGACATATCTCCGAGCGGGCTGGGGAAGAGCAGACTGCAGGACTTTAAAAGAAAAGTTCATGCATGGGTAAAGGTCCTTTAAAATGGGATTAAAAATTCACATTTTTGTCCCATATTTTTCTGATGTTTCTAATCAAACTTATCTCAAGACAAATACAAGAATGGATTTAGTTCACTATTTTTCAGTTGTAAGACCATCAGTCATGGGGAGCCTTTGGTGGGTATTTCTAATAAGCGCATTTTTAATTCCTAAAAAAAAAAAAAAAATCTTATATAAAACACTTATCTAAAGTCAAATGGTCCCACTAAAAACTTCAGGTTCAAAGATTTTCATTAATAATAATAAAAAAAATCTCCAAAACATTTAAATTGCTGCATTTTCATCAGCTTTGCCTGAAGTCTGGCTATGCCAACAATTCTTTCCTCCACCAAAGTCCTAAGCCAAAACCTGGACAGGTTTAACACTCCAAAAACCCCCACTTCAGCAAATCTAGCTGTAATGCCCAGAAGCTCAATGGGGTCCTCTTTGCCTTCTTGGCCCATCCTCCCCAGTTATTTCCAGCGTGGGGCAGGACCGCTGGAGGGGGTGTCCCAGGGGATTTCATGCTCAGCAGCAGGTAGGTGGCCTTTGATCCCACACATCGCCTGGGGCAGAAGGGCTGGTGGACAAGACTCTGCAGAGACAGGCTCCACAGCCATCCCTCCTTTCCTAATTTCCTTCTGAAGTGCTGGAGCCACTGTCACCTCTCATTAAAAGAAGCGAATGCCCTTGTTTCAATTTCTAAGCAGAGCAAACTGGATAATAACATTAATCCCAGCAGGGGGTGGCAAGAAAAGGCACCTCCTCGCTTCAAATGTTTGGACAAAAAATTTGCTCTCATTAGGGCAGAAGTCCAGGAGATGTCGCCTTTGTAGGGCTGGCGGGACGGCGTGCGACAGGGCTTTGTTGCATTTAAAGTGCTTCTCGTCTCCTCCGAGAGTGCCCAGGCTGTTATTGGGGCCAGGCATTAGTCAGGAGAAGAGAGGGAGAGGCAAAAAGAGGAAGGAAAGCTTCAGATCTCACATTGTTGCACAAAGAAAGATCTCTGTAAATCTGTCTTCTGCTGCAAAATATGCTACTGGACAGCTGGCCCCACACACTCCTGAAAATCAGGAACAACATGGTGAGCATCAGGCTGTGGATCTCCTTAGGGGTAAAGGCAGGGACAAATCTGCCTAGTGCTCAGGCTGAGGGATGGCACCCACTGCTCTGGGAGAAGTGTCTGAGGTCACACCAGGAACGCCCAGTGCTGAGGACAGAGAATCTATTTCAGCTAAAAAGATCTGAGCTGGAAAGGGAGATCCTCGGGAGAGACCCAGGTGTCCACGGGTCCTTTTGACCAATAAGTGGGGAGAAAAAGAGGGGGAAGCACCTGAACTGGCCACACTAGGTACTGTTTCTCCTTGGACACACACTCATTTTTCCTATCATCTTCAGGAGAGCTTTTCCCCACATTGGTTATTTACATTTGCTGCTGCATTTCTCCCTAGTACACGGGTGACAGAGATGCTGAAAAACCAGCCAGGAACACGGCTCTGCTTCTGGGTGATGCCCAGTCTCAGGGACATCAAGAGGTGAGAAAAAGCTCATTTTTCCACAGCAGCAAGTATTTTTCTGTAGCTGGCCACATGCCCTGGGGAAAGGAGCTTAACTTGCAAGTTACCTGCTATCAAGTTCAGGGATCACAGCATCTCTCCAAAGTCACACCAGGGCCCAGGCCAGGAGCCTCCACAGCTGAAAGAAGGGATGTGATGGGAGACGTGGGAGAGCCAACCCTCCTAACTCAGGGCTGCTACTGCCTGTGGGCTCCGGTCACACAGGACGTGGACTGCTCGTAACGAGGCATAGCACTGACTAAACATTGACACTACCTGGACCTGATGCCATGAACAAAACACCTTTTACACAGACACCACTAACTGTAGGAAACTCTGCAAAATGCAGCAACCCAAACCTTCTTCCTAGCTCTACTGCACTTGGAAAAAGAGCACCAAGAAGCAGGAGCTGGTGTGAAAGGAGCAAAGAACTGGCAGAGAACTGTCCAAATGAAGCAGAAAGTGATGAAAATACCTATCAATAGAGAAAAATAATCACTGCACACCTTTCCTCCATCGAGATGTACGCTGTCAGATGCAAGTTTGGCTCAGCCTCAGGTAAGGGGGGAGGGAAATTAAAAGAAAGTGTTCAATTAATTCCTCATTTATGGCCAAGTATCCAATATATTACTTCCTTTGTTCCCTGAATTGCCCACTGTCAGTATGTTTAGAAACAGGTTGGAAATTAATGTTCTTCCTGTGGGTGGCTGTCAGAAAAGATAATGGATTTCTTTGGAGGGTCACTTTTTAATTATTATGTTATCACTACTGTTATGTGAAACCTCAAATCTACCCTGGGCATCTACATTTCTAGAAGTAGCCCAGTCAGATGCATCTAAGCATGGCGCTGGACTAATGCAGATTTGGGAATGGACAGTTTCCCAGCTATTGCTGCAACAAAAACACAGCTCAAAACTGCAAAACTAGCAGTGGGACTGGTGCTTAGTGCATTGGAAAATGACAAAGAAAGCTCCTCCAAGGAGAGAAACAGGCACTTCCAGAAGGTGGGACACCTTATCCTGCTTCATGTACCTAAACCCATGCTCTGGGAGAGCTTGTCTCACAAAACTCCACCAAGGTTTTAATTCAAAGGACCTTGTGTACCAACATCAATGCTGCTCTGATTGACTGTGCATGGCGGAGACTGGGAGAGGTGGCTGCACTTAGACACTTTGGTGAAGATTATATTCTTTACCAATTTCAAACTAGAGCTGGCTCATTAGAGGCACATCTTTCTTTAGCACAGAACTAACACATCAATATTTTGGTTACTAAAAGCTTGTTTTTCAAGTAAAGAAATAAAACAGTGCCATTCCATAAGGTTATTTATTTGTTTTCAATAGAAATTTTGAAAATAAAAAGAAATCAGTCAAGTTCCCAATGTTCCCTTTCAGCTTAAACCAGATTTTAACTCTGCTACATACAAAAAGAGAGGTTATTCATTCACTCTTTAGTCTTTCCAAGTACTACAGAGACTCCCTCCCAGGGTAAACCCAGGCACTTTAAAAATTAAAAACCAAACAAACAAACAACCAAGACCCAAACAAAAAGCAAAACCCCACACACATGCTTTAGCTCTCAGAAATATGGTTAACAACCAACCCGTTGCAGATCTATTGAGGATAACTTGATGGGACAAACCTTGACCGTGATGGGACAAATGACAATTGTCATGCTATTTTCAGAAAGCTTCTTCTAACATCAAGATCAAGCAGTGCCCCAGGAAACAGGATACAACCTTGGTTCAACCCTGAGTTTTCTCCAAGTGAGTACCCTCCCCTCACTCATCCCTCCTTCCAGTTTTACAGAAAACAAACAAACAAACAACAACAACAACAAAAAAAAAAAAACAAAAAACAAAAACAACAACAACAAAAAAAGCAACCAAACAAAACAAACAAAAAAACCCAAAAAAACAAACCAGAAAATTGAGTGTTGGCAAACACCAAGTGTAACCTTGGTGGTGCAGCCCCTTGCCAGGGTAATTAAACCAGGCAACTGCAACACATCGAAGTAACAAGCCAAGATGCAAGCAAGTACCAGCTTCAGCACGTAAACACCCCAGTTTATTTGGGGTGCAGCACAGCAAAGCACACAGTACTAGAGATCTGAGTGGGTTTAGTGGAGAGGTTGACTCCCCAGAGTCCCTGCCACCATCCAGCCTGGCCAGCACAGACCAGGTGCCCCGTTTGGTCCTGGAGGAGCTGGGTGTGACCTGCACCGGGGAGTGTTGAGTTGGCCCCTAAGCCTTGGCTTCCCCTTCAGCTCTCCCTCCCCGCAAGCACTGGCCAAGCTCTCTCCCTACTACTTGGCTTCTTTGTCAGTAAAATGAGGATAATGAATGATTTTGCCTTTTCTTCTGAGGGGCTGAGAAAATCCAATTTAAAAGAAATGAGAAAAAGCAGCATTTCTGAGTACCAAGTGGAACTAGAAAGCCATGGATCAAAAGCAATTGGTAAAAAAGTTATTGATGGAGGCGTTCCTTCCAAAACCACATTTAGATTGAAATCAGAACATTTTGCAAGAGCTTGTTGATTTCTACGAAATTTTTGAAGTGGGTCAAAGCATTTGCCTCAACTTTCCAGAGGCACTGTTAGAATATTTAATTTCATTTTAGATGTTATTTTGCTGGAGCATTTTGTTTAAAATATATTAAAATACTTAATGACATATTATTAGATACTAAATTTCAATATATTTTATGATGTTACATTTAAAATATGTATACAAAAAAGTCCAAACAAAATATTCTCACACATTAAAATGTCAGATTTTTATTTAAACAAATTGATTTAAAAAAAAAAAATAGTCAGGTGTTTTATGTATGCATTTTATGCATTTATTATATGTAGCATTATGAGACTTCTAACAAACTTTTTGCTTTTGTCCAATTTTACTGTATGAAAAATGCTGGCTTCTAATTGCTTTTCAGAATGTGAAAATTTAATTTCATTGCTTTCAAACCAAAAATTGCAATTCTCAATCAGCTCTCAAGGTATTGGAATTTCCCAAACTCTTTTTTCCCCTCAGAAGGAAGGGAAGAAGAAAAGACTAATTTCTATCGACATTTTTGAGTTATCTGTTAAACAAAAACTTGGAGCAGTCGATAGAAAAGGTTCAGCTTCTGGTAAGCCAAGAAAATGGAACTAGTGACAAACATTTTTCTTAAAAAGTCAAAAATTTGCAAATGCACCCTAGACCTTATGGAACATCAAAGACATTTTACCTTTCTGGGATAGCAGACAGTAAATCTTGGTTCTCAATCAGCAACATCTTTACTTGGCAACTCCTGTCATTACCTGTGGGAAGGAAAAAGAATAAATCCTTTGTCTCATGGGGGTTTTTTTAAGCTTGGGAAAAAGAAAAAGAAGAAAAAATAAATACCCTTGTGCTATAACTTCTCAGCCTCTCCTGTTAAAGGCTATTTCTGTGGGAACTACTGGGCAGCAGGCTGGTGACAGTCCTCAGTTTGGAACAGACAGCTGAGGACTATCGGCACAGTTGCAGACAACCCACTGGTGGCTTGGCAAGTGGGGGGATTACATCTTGCACATGGGGGAAAATGTGTATTAATATCACATGTGTGGTAAAAGCCCTCCCACAAACCTCTGGCTGCAAGATCATGGTGCTGTTTTCAATTCCTTATCGAATGCAAGTGAAGCTGAGAAAATAGATTAAAAAAAAATATAAGAACTATTCCTTTGTACTAGCATGAGTGGCCTGCTTGTGGATAAGATTTCACAGAAATGAAAGGCAAACTTTGCTCCTTAGCACCCCCAAACTACACAGTATTTCTATGGAATCTCAGAATATATCCGTTCAGAAGGAACCTCAGGAGGTGTCTAGTCCAACCTCCCACTTAAAGCAAGGTCCACACTGAATTCACACTGGGTTAGTTGCTCAGGGCTTTGTCCAGTCAGTCCTTGAACATCTCCAATGATGGAGATCCCTTGACCTCTCTGGGCCCTCTGTCCAGCAAAAAGCTGCAAAAAACCCTCTCCCTTCCCCTACACGGTCATATTAGTACATGGGTTTCCTTCATGGCTAATATATTTTTGTTTGTTTGGTGCATTCTTTGGTCTGACTGGGATTGTCAGATCTCAAGACCACCAAGTACTAGACAAAACCAGGTTCTACATCTCTTTCTTGGGATGGAGAATGGATCTGACAACAGCACTGTACTTTCACCCAGTCTAGGGAGCTTCAGTTTTTCCCAACTGGGAAAAAGCTACCAAGCTAAACAAAGGACATAATGCAATGGTGTGCTCACCCCTCGTCTTCTGCCAACATCGCTATTAAGTCAGTTCACATGAGATGTCTCTCATCCAGAGCGCATAGTGAAGTTTTTGCTGGCATGCATCTGGTCTGCCTGCATTACTCACCCACTAGCAGAGCTACAAGGCATTCCCTGATGGAGTCACAGCGTGCAAATAAACTTCTGATTCTATTATTGACTGTTGGGTTTATGGCACCACCAAAAGAAGCTGTTTCAGAAAAATGTTTCAGTGACTTCATAGCAGCAGTCAGGGCTGTGCTGGGAGGACCCGTGTTGTGAGAGAGCAATTCCCACTCTCCCTCTCACAATCCCTCAGCTGGAATCACGACCTTGCTTCCTTTTTCCACAACCAGGTTTGCGATGCCGTTTGTGGACTCCAGCCTCAGCTGGGGAAAATCCAGCCTGCTCCCACCAAGCAGCTGACTCACGTTGGCATCACCACCCTGCTGGTGTTTCTCATCACACCCCTCTTGTTCTACAGGACAGATCTATTGCCATGTGTTCATACAGCACCAAGAACCTCCAGAAACTGTGACATCCTAACACTATTGTTAAAAATAAAAATAAGTCTATATAAAAATATCTCTCTATATGAAAGAGGTAGGATAGTCATATCCCTGTGCTTTCAGGCGACTCCCTTAGTTGTTGTTCCCAACCTTCTTTGGAAAAAACTTGCTTCTACCTAGAAAATGAGACCCAGTCCCAGATGCAGCAATTGGAGGCTAAGGAAAGGAGGAGCTTCAGTGAGGTGCTGAACTGGAGACCAGAACCAAAGAAAACCCAGGTCACAGCTTCCCGGTGACTCTGTCCTGAGATATCACATCTCAGACTCTGCAGAAAGCTGCTGCCTTAAACTTAGTTAAAATAGGAGAGAGATTATTAGTCTAACTGGTTCACAAGATTCTCTGCCCTAAATGCAGGGCAAGGGGGGGAGGGAAATAAAAAGGAAAGATGAAGCTTTCTGTTGAACGAGTTTAGAATGGAAACCTCTTTAAGTTTCCAGGGTTTGAAATGAGGACAGTGACCCCAGGTGATGAGCTATTAGTGAGCAGAATGCAGGTGAACCCCTGAAGCTATGAAGGAAAGGTTCTTCTCTCTGGGTCCTGGTTGCAGAAATAACAGCATCCAGGGCCAGGCTGTCAGTAACACATGTGGGGTGGGTGAGGGGGTGTTTACACACTGGATATAAATGATCCTCACAGTTTGGGCTGGAGGTTTGATTGCCTGACAGTTCTACCATACCTACGGCTCGAGTGCACAAGTTCTTGAATGTTTTCATTATTTTTTCATTTGTAATTTTATTTCATAATAGTAACAAGACACCCCAGGGCAATGTGTTTCCAGGGGATTATTGCCTTCAGCTTTTTGCTTTATGACACATTCCATAATCGCCAAGAAATGTACAACCTGTCATATCTCATTACTTAAATGTGGGTTGTATAGCCATGTATTAGGCACGATGGATAGACCGGGGCCATAAAATTATATGGACATTTGGTGGCAAAAGTTAGTTTGTGCAAGCAGTTCCCGTGAATGGCTTGCAGCTGGGCTAGCTCAGTTTGGACCCATCCTCAACTTCAGAGCTCTTACAAGTTGTTTTTGCTCTTACTCTGCCCACAGAGCCATTGCAGAAGGTGCATGAACTAATTCTGTGGTCTCATGCTCCTCTGCTTCCCCCTTAGCTTGGCAAGGCTCACCCTGCCTGCAGACACAGCCAAGAAACACCCTCCAGGCAAGCTCAGCCCTGGGACGACTCACAAGAGTCCCCTGAGGGCTTACAAAAGGCATGTCCCAAGTCAGGCTCCTTCTACCTTTTACTACCCACTGCCTATAAGTAACCATCCACAAGATTTCCCGGAGACACCCATGATGTGGATGAGGAAAAAAGAGAGAACACAGAATGTGGGTCATGAGCTGATTTCTTCCAAGGAATCCTGTGGTTCTGGATTTATTTTAAAGTTTCAGTCAGTCTGGGCATCTGGCACAGGAAGCCAAATGTCTGAAAACAGGGGTCAAACGTAGACACCCTGGCTTTTGGTCAGCTGCCAAGGGTCAGGAGAGCGGTAGTCAACAGATGACCTGCAGGGGATGTTCTCCTTGGCCAACAAGTTTGGGTGAGATGGGCAGGACCCCCATTCAGAATGACCTCACAAAAAGCCCTCAGCACCCCAGGATGCTTTAACCAGAGCTGTTACACCACGGCCAGGAAGGGCTGGTGGTTATGAGCTCTTCTCTGGCACTTGCAGGGACTCAAACAGGAGGCCATTCATGGGGACCCAGTCATTCCCAGCGGCTGTACCAGCTCTAGTTCCCAGCACTCTGCTGCCCTCAGCATATAAGGAAGTTTTGTCACCCTGGGTCTGAGTTACTGGACAGGCTCTGATGCCTTTTCTCAACAGCACATCAGGCTGAGGGTACAGCTACCTGCAGTCTGGTAATGAGGGAGAACAACAACACTCAGCTGAGCACAGAATGAAGCTCAAGCTGATGAAGAGCACTTTTGTACAGCTCCAACACACAAATGCTCTTCAGATCAGAGGTTTCTGACCCATCACCTTGCAAAAGAATCAAGATCAAGCTAAAGACTAAATATGCAGAGGCAGCAGCTAGAGGGGACCTCTCTGGAATGCTGTGGGGCAGATGGCCCTTCATTATGAGGGGCCCAAATCCTTTCTTGGTTGGACTCAGTGATCTTAAGAGTCTTTTCCAACCTAAATGATGCTATGATTCTTGAGATGCTGGTGGATCTAAGGGACAGCATAAGCAAGCAGGAAGAATTCCTCATATGTATTCAACTGTAAAAGGCAGTTGTGAGATGCTGTAGAAGACACTCTTAAGCCTTTACCATAGAATTGCAAATGCCTTTCTCTGACTGGGAACACTCACAATAAGGTTCTGAGAGCTGGACCACCAGGAAGAGCATTACCAAGAGATAAATTGAGATTCATGATTTGTCTGGCAGGCTCCATTGCAGCACAAGTCTTGCACTTGGCTCTGAATGACAGGTCTGTGCTAGCACACACACAACTGCAGGCTGGTCTTTCAGCCCAGTCCATCCTGGAGATTTCCCAGGACCACAAGGAGGCTCAGTCCCTGCTCAGTTAGGCTACGATGGAGATTTATTTTTTTGTTTGGCTGGAGACAAACAAAAAACCACAAAGCCTAGAAGAATCCATGACCTAGCCCTTTAAAAACACAACCATGAAATAAATTCACAACAAGGTTTTTCATCTTAAGGAAAGCTCATCTTACCTGAGTCCTGGAACAATGGCACAGGGGTAGAGTCTTCCCTTCTTCGGGGAGCGCTGGCGATGGGGCTCGCAGCAGGTTTTCCATGTGCTGTGCCTTTAAGCTCACTATACTTCTGCCTCCATTTCCAAACAGCAGCCTTTTTGTTCTCCAGGCTGCTGCAACTTGCAGATATGTGCACCATGCCCTCTTTCGCAGGGTGATGATTTTTTTTTTTTTAATCTTGCTGTTCTCTATAGTCTGAAGTTAAAGACATTCAGGTTAAAAATACATGGCTGAGGTGTTTTTTTCCAGACCACCTCCTTCCTTTACCCTCAGAAACTAAAAGTACTTTCCCAGTTGAGCAGGATCAGCCTCCCCCAGGTGACAAAGGCAATTTATTAAGACAGAAACTACAATTATGCACAGACAGATGCTCCTCTTGGATATATGGAGACAAATACACTTCGCTGCTATACTCAGACACTCTACAAATAAAGTGCCTACATCACTTCTGCTATACCACTAGCTCACACTCAAGTTTCCCTTTATTCTCTGCTCGAGAGTGGCTAAACATAAATCTCAGTCTTCCCAGTAGCTTCTAAAGGTTTTTTCTCCTTGCCAAGTTTCCTCCCAGTTCCCAGGGGGCAACCAGCAGCCACACAGCCCCTTTTGTGCTCCAGGGCTCGGCTAACAGGCCCCACCTGGGCCGGCAGGCAGGAGGGGTGCCCTTGGCCATGCTCAGAGGGCTGGCACACCATCAAAGAGGGCTTTGAGAGGGAGCTGCTGCTGGGTCTCCGATGGCAGGGACACCTCACCGAGCCCCAGCGCTGCTAAGGAGGAGGGGGTCTGCAGGGCAGGGGCTTGGACACCCCACAAGTACCTGGGCTTGGGGTGCTGGAGGCTCTGGGGGGGATGCTGCTTGCAGGTGGGAGCCAGGACATAAGAGATTGGTGTCGGAGGGAGAAGCTGTGTCCTCTCTATTTCTGTTTGAAAAGCATAAAATACAGACCTGAGCCTCATTGAATTCAGTGGTCAGGGGATGAAAATCAGACCCTACAACTTTAGAAATGAGACATCTTCACCTCTGTTGTCTCTGGGATGTAAAAATTCGGATGCAGACACAGGGTGTGTTCAGGGCCCAGCTGGAGATGTTCCTGTCCCCACTCCTCACCACATCATTAAAACCAAACCATTCCCTCCACTCTGCCCGCGGAAGGGGACACGTGAGTGCCCCCCGTACTGCAAAAATCAGCCAGAGCCCTCAGGGCATTGCCAACAGCAATGAAAATCAGCTTTAAGGGATGCTCCTGTGCCCTATTCTGCTCTTAAGGGACAGCACCTTCCAGGGGAGGAATGGAAACATCATCCAGGGCCCTGTGATGTCCACCACCCTGAAACATCTGAAGTCCCCACAGCTCTTGCTCTGCAGCCTAGAGGGCTCAGACAGTGCTCAGCGTGGTGGACACAGACTCCCCTGTGCTGGTGGAGCTTGGGCACATCTGTTGGCTGCTGGGCCAGTGGCTCTGGATGGTGACAGCCACTGAGGTCTGTCCTGGGCCATAAAACTCTTCTGGGGGTCACACTGTGAGTTAGTGAAATCCTGTAGTCACCTGGGGACAGGTTCAGGTAATGAAGAAGGAAAAAAAGAAAAAAAAAAACACACAAAATCAGGTGAGAATAATAAATCCTTTGCAATGGCTTCTCTTCCTCCTGCTTTCTGTTTGTGGTTTTTTTTTCCCATTATTGTACTAGTTGCTTGGTTTTTCTTTTGGTCTTCTAACTTTTCTATATCACTTTATTTTCCCAGTCTTTCCTCTTCTTTCTTTTTTTAACCATTTTTCTGCACTTGTGTTTCTTCTGTGCAGACCATGGCCCACGTTTCATTTACACCTTACCTGGCTTGTGTGTCTGCTCTTTGTGCACAGTGTCACAGTCCAGGTTGTGGTTTGCATGAACTGTTGATGTGCTCCCATTTCTTCTCTCTTTTTTTCTGGAGACAAAAAAAAATATATATATATAGATATATATCATTTTCCTTTGTGGTTCCTTCATATTCAAAACTCCCACACACTTTAAAGTCATATCTAATGCCCTTTCTCCCTCCCATGCCAGGCACTGACCACTGCAAAGGGACACTTGGGGGCCACAGTCCCAGTACGTGGCAGTGCCATTCCTGTCCTAATTACACCAGTGCTGGTGGAAGAGCCCAAGGTGCCAAACACCTCCAGACAGGTCTGCAGGGGATGGGATGACAACACGTTTCTCCCTCTCCTGCAGCATCTTCTCCCCCTGCCCGGCCCTCTGGGAGCACTGCAGTGGGCAGGTCGCAGCGAGGAGGTAGCGTTTCAGGCTGCCGGCAGACTCGGGAAACCTTCACTTATACTTCCATCATGTTTCCAGCCCTGGCAGGAATGTGTTTATTTATAAATGCAAAACGAGACTGTGATCTCATGTCTGCAATGAAGCAGGCCCTGACAAGTCACGCAAAACGGTTCGTTACTGCAGGGACCAGAATAGCAACATCCAGCCCAGGGCTCTGCTGGTGGACAGATTAGCTGCAGGAAGATACTTTGGGAATATACCCTGGGAAGAGCAGGATATTTTTGGCTTCCATAAGGTCCCTATGTGTTAAGATAAAGGGGGATAGTGAAGAGGAGGGTGGGCATAGTGGGATGTGCACGGTTCTTCCAGCACACTTGAGGATACATGGTGATTCTCCAGCCCCTCTCCCTTGCAATCACAAGGCATCAATCCCAGGAGCTACACAAAGTCCATTCCCTTTACAAACATCCCTCTGTTCCCCGAGTTTGCCTCTTACTTTCCTCTGTTTCTTGTGTCGGGGCGATACTCAGGCAGCGATGCTGAGTCCCAGCTCCCACGCAGTCTCACGACTCCCGGTTGCGCTGTCACGAGCAACACCAGGTTTATTGAATGTGCACCACCAAAACACAGTGCTTCTCACCTTGAATGGGTTAAAAACGCATTTAAAATAAAGCTAGGGGGTATTCCAAAACAAACTCCCCGTTTCAATGATTCTCCAAAATCTCAAGTCTGAGATGCCTTGCTTGGGGAAAACCTTCTCCCAGACTGGGAAACCACCCCGTGGGAGGTGTAAGCGCTCCTCAGCCGTGCCCTGGGGCTGCAAGCCCGGTGCGTTTCACACCAAACCGTGGGAAAAAACCCTGAAGCCAGACGTTCCTGGAACGGTCCAGCCCACGCGAGACGCCGGGTGACAGGGACGAGGCGCTGCCGAGCGGCTGAGCCGCTTCCAGGCGAGGCTGAGCCGCTGCTGCAGGGCCCGGGGGTCCCCAGGTGGGGGGAGCAGGAGCCGAGCCCCCCCCCGGGACCGGCGGCGGGGAGCGGGGGCTCTCCCCGGGCCGGGGAACGCTAGAGGGCAATAGCGGCATGTCCCACGCAGGAGCGGCTGAGAGCCGGCCGGGGGGCTGCCAGGGAGTCTGTAGGGACACATCAGGGCATCTTCCTTTTCTGAGGATTAAAAAAAAAAAAAAAAAACCAAACCAAAACAACAACAAAAAAAAAACACAAAACAAAAAACAAACCCAAAAATCCCACAAACAAATACCAACTCCCCCACACAAAAAAAAGTCTTTTTGAACTTTTCTGCTCTCATTGCAGGTGGGTGAGAGGAGGCACCTTTAGCATCCAGGATATATGACAGATGCACACAAGCTATCACAGTTCAGCACCACCCCTCCAACACAAAGCAGGAAGGCACAGCCCCAGGTGAGCTGCCTTTTATCCCCTGCTGATTAGACTAATTTAGGGAAAACATCCTCCTCCCCAAGATAGGCAGGTGTCAGCAGTTGATTTCCACCTTGCTAGAAATTAGAGCCACTCTCTCCACTGTGCCTCTAATTTTCACGGTGATGCATTTCCTTGTTCCCACAATATACCCTGTCTCGCCTCCCCGGGACGTTCCCTTTGCCCCAGGCCTGGAAGCTGGTTGCTCCCAAGCACAAACCTTTGGCGAGGGCTCGGCTCTGCTGCTTCCCAGCCACCACAACCTCATGGACACGGAGGGGGTCTCACGGGAGAAGCACCCCAGCCCTGCTGGCTTTGTGCCTGGCCGGTCCCCAGCTCCATCCCCTGCTCTGGGTGCATCCCCCGGGTGCCACCAGCCCCTCCGTTTATCAGGCCGGGGCGGTGGGAGATAGGGAGGGAGGCCGATAAGCCCTCAAGTGGCAGCGTGCTGTAAACATTCCCACTGGTGCTGTTAGATTAGAGTGCTGGGAAAATGCCTCCAGCCCCCCGGCCCACCAGCGCAGCGGGCTGGGGCTGGGGGGCTACAGAGCTGTTGAAAAGCTGTGGAGGAGCTGAAGTGCTTCGCTGGCAGGCTGCAGGGCTGGCTGCTGCCTCCCAGGGTACCAGGGCTGTCAGGGGCCTGACCAGCAGCCCTGGGAAGGCTCTTTTGGCATCCGACCCTGCAGCCAGTCTCCATCTGAATCCATAGGCTCCCCTGCCATTTTTTCCTAGCTGGTAAAAAAAAATTACTTTTCCCTCCCTCTGCCTCCCAGGCTGCTGGTGGCCAGAGCTCTTGGCTGGCTGGAAGCACAGTGCTTGTGTGTTTTAGCTCTTTTGCAGCAGCTCTGCTCTCCACACAGGCGTCTCTTTGCATGTACTGGCACAGAGTGAAAGGCTGTGGTCCTCTTTTCGTAATGATCTGTACCCATTTTAAACTCGTTTTTCACCAGTAAATACAACTGATCACAATAAAGTTTAGTAGACTGCACTCTGTTTACTATAATTTGATGTGGAGCAGGGAATGCAAACCCTTCAAGCAACCTGTCATTGAGGAAAAGAGGCTCTTTCCTTGCAGCAGCTCCTGCACATGGGCTCAGCTCAAGCTGAGACCCTGTCACCCACCTCTCACCTGGTACTAAATTTATCTATATTCAGGTTTGGAAATGCTGATGGTTGTCAGGGTTCCTAGTAATGACTCTGCAAAATGAGGCTTCTCAGCAGAGACATCCTCAGCTGGGTCACACCATCAGCGGTGCCGCTGCTGGAGCAGGGATGGGAGTGCCCAAACTGAAATACCCTTCCACCTTGCACCCCAAGACTGTGCAACTTGCAGGTTTCAAAGCCAGATGGTTGCAGGGTTCACAGAAACCTGACAGAGTTCAAAAATGTCTCAAAACAAAGCCTTGGTGGGTGTCAAAACAGAAGAGCATTACCTGGCACCAGAACAGCAGCGTCCTCTCCCAAACGTATGGTGCATCAAGACTAGTCCACAGATCAGAGGGAACTGTCCTGAAAGTCTTCTCCCATTCAAATTGAAAAATTTTGAATGCCACCTCTGATTTTTCTTCCTCCTTGTCAGGGGTTGAATCCAGCTCCCCCAAAGGACAGCATTGGGATGGACAGTCTTACTCTGAAGTGATACTGTCATAAATGGGAGCAGATCAGATCCAGTCCTTGCAGGCACGGGCAGGGCTACAGCAGCACATGGGTGGCGTGTGTCACCAGGGATGACCAGTCCTGGCAGAGCAGTAGCACCTGGAGGAAGAGCACAGCCTCTCCTGCCAGCAGCGGGAGAGGGGGCACAGCCACACGCCCCCCTTTCCAGGCAGAGAGAGCCGGGGCTGAGGAACAGCTCCAGATGGAGCTGGCAGGACAAAAAGCCAAATGAAAATCTATCCGTGGAGTTGGTACCACAAAAGCCAGGAGAAATGGGTGCTCCACAGGCAGCACTGGAAGGAGAGGGGGCTGTGCCCCTGCAGAGCCTGTGGTACCTGCAGCCTTTGCAGGGCCCCCGCGCTGCAGGCTGAGCCACAGGTTATAAATCCTCAAGCACTGGGGCTGACACATCTTTTGCTGAGGAAGAGAGCTGGGAAACAGTCTCCCGTTCTCCCTCCCATCCTGATGCACCTTTCCAGGGACCAGGGACTGATCCAGACACGGTGTCACCTTTTCCTGTGTAGCAAACCAGCATGAGGAGGTGACAACAAGGCCAGGTGTTAACTGTGGGGTGCAGGAGCAGCACTGGCTCTGCTGGCAAGAGTTGCTCAAAAGGAGAAGACATGGTCATGAGCCCACAAGAACTGGACACTGTTGGCCTTGTCTGGCATCAAGCAGCATCCCTCTCTCCTACCTACATTTCTATGTGTCCCTTCTGACTTGCTGAGCATCAGCATCACCCTGGACCTTCATCTCCAAGGGGTTAACAAGACCTAGTTGATGCAAGCTCACTATCCACCTATTCCTTTTCTCTTTAAGCTGAGAAGGACCCAGAAATGCTCCTAAGTGCAGGCACATCCACCAGCAGTGGAAGATTGGTGCTCAGCAGAGCAGTAGCAGCTGCCAGTCCATGCCGCTCGGAGGCAACCTTCCCTCCTGCTCCCATTCCCCAACATCTCCTTGGCCTTCAGGCGGCTTTCAAAGCTCACAGACAGGCAACACCGAGTCATGGGAACCTCCCACTCCCAGTTTCTCCCTAATATTTCCACAGTGAGTAAATCTCCATCCTTTTAGGGCTCTCAAATCTATTATTTTTACATTTGCAGTGGATTCCCTGGCCCTGTTATTAATGAAAACCTCCAGGAAAGCTCCTCAAATACAGCTTTGACTTTCTGCCCAGGACCTGTGGACAAGTGAAAAAAAAAAAATAAGGCAACATTAATAAAGCAGGAGGTTTCTATTAAGTCTGAGGGACTGGACGCTCTGGCTTTCTTGGATGCTGAAATCCTCTAGTGCAGGATAAATCTTATACACTTCATTTTCCCAATCTCTCCTTCAATATATTTTAAGAGAACGTTGCTAGTATCAGAGTAAATAATGTCCTAACTGCAAACGTGGGGTCTGCAGAGTGGCGTGGGGTCAGCCTGTGGGCTGTGGCATCCTCCACTGTGGTCTGCTTGTGGTCTCAGCCCTCTCTCCGTAATCAGGGGGTTGAGCTTGGAGAGGTTTTAATTAGCCGCGAATACAAATAACAAGCAATTCCTTGGAGGCTGGGGAAGGAAGTGGGTGAGCTAACATTACGGAGATGTGCACTAAGTCACAAAATATGCAAATCAATGAGCTCTGTAACCAACACTACCTTGGTGTGAGCAAACTTCCTCCAGCCCTCTTTCCTTTTAGCAAAATGTGTTTCCCATCTGCCTGCGAGGGAACTCTCCATTTGTGGGCTCTGCTGTCTTCTTTGCACAGCACCTGCTTTTTAGACCTTTCAGCTCCTCCTAAAGGTACTGGATTTTCTTGGTAAAAGCTGTTATCTGGAAGTGTGCATGCCAGCTTTTGCTGCAGAAGAAAAGGGAGCACGTCCATGGGGTCCTGCGAGCCCAAGGTCACACTGGGAGATGACTTTCCTTTGCTTTTATGCCTTTCACTGCTCCACAGAGCACGTTGAATGCGAGCTAAATGCAGCATCATCAGCGTGGGTGGGTGATGGAGTGCCTTTGTGTCTTGTTTCGGCACCAACAGCTTGCACGCAGCCACTGGTCTGCAACAGATGCTGTGAACACGGATGCAAGGATCGCATTTTATTTGTATCTTGGCAGCTCTTTCACCTTGGATTGCTGTGCATTGCTGGAGATGGGGCTGCTGTGCTTGCAGAAGACTTGAGGAACTGATTGTTGCCTCGAGCTGCATTAGGGAGTAAATACGAAGGACTTCACTAGCTAGAAAGACATAACCTTCCTTGGGAGCAGGAGCTTGTGTGTTCTTCACAGTTGCTCATGCTGGTGGTTTTAACCCAGCAGGACTCCTAGGTGTTGCTATAACACAAATGCTGATGCTCTTTGACAGCACCAGCGTATCAGAACTACCTTTTTCCTGCCTGAAGAATGCCAGACCAGTCCCAATCTGCAGAGGCACGAGAGTTCAGCCAACATAAGGCAGGAGCCTTGAACTCACAGTGCCCTGATGCTGACACACACACAACCAAAGCCCCCTGCCGTAAGTGGTAAAT